AAGAATTCTGTAAGAATACAAGAATTCTGTGATTCTGTAAGAAAACAATATGTACTTAAAATATTATGAAGTTCATATGTCTGTGAAGTATTTTTCATTAGATCTGATTTCCAGATTACTAGTCACTACATGATTTATTTTATCTGGGAAAATACTTACTTACCTTAGAGTAACTGTGATTCTTTGAGATGTGTTGACTACACAAGTTCACATATGTGCATAGCTGGTCCATGCATCAGCTTGGATTTAAATCCCTTTTAATTCTGGAAATGCACATGCAAATAGCTGTTCCCTCTGACCACAAATAAGGGATAAACTTCAATCATTACTCCACTTCTTCCAATGCAAATTCCTTATAAACTGAATATTGACTCAGGAGGGAAGATGAACAGGAATTTGTGTGGACAACACATCTTGAGGAAACACAGTGGCAGCTGAGTTGGCTGGCAGGTAGGGGGAGAGGGTTAGAATTCCTTCCCTCCCCACCATCAAAAAGCACCCAGACACACTCCACTCTGAAGTAGGATTCTTCTTACTAAATTTAGGCATCTGCAACTGAGATAGGTAGTCACTCTTTCAGTTCTTTTTGACAAACAGAAGAAAACATTTGCATCTAGCATCTACTGTCCAACTCATTCTACAGCAAGCACCTAACACAGATCAAATGGGATACACCCTAAAAGCACTTAATGGATGAGAGTCTTTCAAGGTTCTCTCTCCCAGGTTTCTGGATTTAACCATTCTGTGATACATATTTCCTTATACTAGACTTCAGAGGGAAGACAGAAAGGCTAAGAATAGGGAGATTATACCAGTCACAAAAATATAAAGCATGTCTGGATTTCTTTTTAATCAACTGCCAACAACATTTTACCTATCACTACCTAAGTGAAAGATTCATCTGAGTCAGTTTTAACTCTGTTGAAATGCTATGGAACTACTGTTTCAACTCTGTTGAAATGCTACAGGAACTTCCAGAAAACAGTTTGTTTAAGACATCACCTTAGGAATGATGCCACCTGGAAAAGTGTCTATCTTTCACTGATTACAGGTGGAGTGTAAGTACCTAGCTTTAAGATTCTTAAAGATGGATGAATCCTAAATAACTAAATTTAACTAAATAACTATATAACTAAATTAATCAAATAATGCAGAATTCCTATGGAAGCTTAGAACCCGGGTACTCTAGGTCAGTAAGAGGGAAGAAAGAGGCAATAGATACACTTCTACCTTACGCTGTTAGTTATGGTGATCACAAGATCATCCAATTCACTTGTATGGTTTCCACAAAACACAAAAGGGCTATTTTAAAATGGACTGATCTTAGATGTTTGATCTGATCTTGCATATGTTTGTCTACCTAGAACAGAACCTGTGACAACACTTCTTGAAAAAGAACAACTGAATTTTCAATCTAAATGGATTATATGGCCACACAAATCTATCTGATTCACTGCCAACTCTGTGCACTGAGAAAACAAGTGCTCTCTCCACTACATTTTTTCCAGTCAATTAATTTAGCAAGTTGAATATTAGAATAACCATGGGTACAGAAAGGGGTTTAGAAAAGATACTTAAATGACTTGTGTGGTCAAGAAAGTCAGTTGCTGTACTATGATTCCAAGCACTTCTATCAAAAAAGACTTCCTTTAAATTTGCAAAGTGATAAGTTCATGAATGTTTCCTTAAGTACTAAAGAAAATAATTCTTCCTCTTACAAGCAGAATCCACTTTTCTATTTTTTAAAAGGAATTTAAATCTCCATTCTTGTATGATAACATTTAGAAAAAAAACATTCCTTTTGCATTGCAAGAAGACCTCTGCTCTCACTGTTTCATTAAAAAAAATATTAAATATGTCACCTATGCTCTTAAATATTATCATAGAACTGCAGAATCACAGAATGGTTGAGGTTGAAAGGGACCTTGAACACATCCAGACAGTTTTTGAGTACATCCAACGATGGAGACACCTCTCTGGGTAATTTGTACCAGTGCTCAGTCACCCTCACAGTGAAAAAGCATTTCCTGATGTTCAGAGGGGAACTGCTGCATTTCAGTTTCTCTCCATTGCCTCTGGTCCTGTTACTGGGCACCACTGTGAAGAGTCTAGCTCCATCCTCTTTGGATCCTGCCTTTGCATATTTTTACACATCAATAAGATGCCCCTGAGCCTTCTCTTCTCCAGGCTGAACAGCCTCGTCTCTCTTAGCATGTCCTCATAGGGGAGATGCTCCAGTCCCCTCATCATCCTTATGGTCCTACGTTAGACTCTCTCCAATATGTCCAGGTCTCTTGTACTGAGGAGCCCAGAGCTGAACACAGTGCTTCAAGTGTGTCCTCACCAGCTGGCAACCTCCCCATAGCTGATGGAAGCATGATCAATTTGGATTTACTGTTGCAATAGCCTTACTTAACTTGCTGATTTAAATGATCCTTTGCATAATTTTCACCAACCCGTACACAATTAAGAATTTGGGTTAAAAGACATGAGAGCATTAGTTGAAAAGACAAAACAAAACAAAACCTTCATAAGATATTTGACTCTGAAATATATGACTGAGATTTTTTTTTCAATTTTCCCTTCAAATACTGTATGAATATGGAATGCAATACTTATGTCTATATATTTTAAACTGCATTGGTGTATTTTCAGCACTAGAATCTCCCCATAAGTATCATGTAATATGAATAACACTCTTATTTTGCCAAGGCTTATCTGGATATCTTGTTTCATCTAGATATCCTCCAGTCAACAGGATGAATTGCATTAACTCCTGGCTTCTTTCCCCTTCCCTTCCATAATTGTGTAAACTAAGGTCCTAACATTTGCTGGAATTTGTATATGACAGTCTGACAAACCTATCATTATGATTTTCTTGAGAACGGAACAAATATCTTAAAATGCAAGTTCTGAGTATGACAAATTTGATTATCTGTTGACAGATTCTCCTTGCAAAGTTGTAAGTAAAGCAGTTGAGTGCAAAATAAGCTTCCCTCTGTGATATATGACAGAAATACAAAAGTTTATAGTAATAAAAGACTAAAGTGTGACAAAATTTATCACAGAATCATAGAATTGTTTTGGTTGGAAAAGATCCTTAAGATCGTCGAGTCCAACTGAAAAGTTTAGCCATTTGAGTGCTTGTATCTATTCAGTCCCAAATAAATGAAAACATTGTGCTGCTTTTTTCTATGTATTTCACTGCTTCAGGGACAGTGACTACTTGGGGTCTTGGACTTTTTGTGCATTTCTTACTGGCCTGGATCCATCCAGATCTCTTTTCCATCAATCTATCACATACCATGTGGTCATTATTTTGTACCATGAGCAGAGATGAAGGAACTGGAAGTTATGGTGGATATGACTAGGGAGCAAGGTATAGAGTGGGCATAGATGCCCGATAGGGATGAGGATTTCTCCAGAGATGGATTAGCTGAATTTGTGTCAGAAAAAACTGAGGGCCCTATCACTGTTCTTGACTAGAGAGTCCACTAGAGAAGTGGGATTTGTCTCAAACTGTCAGGTACTCCATTAGGGATGTGAGAAAGAATAGAGTTCCTCGAGGAAACAAAGGATGATGACATTAGAAATTTAGTGCAATGCCAAACTTTCTTCTCAAAGTCTGGGAGTTCCTGATTTCTGCAGTGTGACATTCAGGGGACCAGAAGTTCTACCAAAATTAAACCTGGATTGCTATTGCAATATCTTAGCAGTATCTAGGAAGAGGAAGTGGTCTTGAGCTAAGCATGTCAAACTGATGAATCTGTGTTGTTTCACTTCCTAGTAATTCACTGGGAATTCTGGAGGCAACTCAGCAGTTTCCCTTTCACGGCTCATGTGCTATCATCCATGTGGGTATAGCCAGAGGCAGGCAGAGCACGGAGTGGCTGAGTCCTGCATTCTCCTGCATGATGTCTGCGTAAAGCTCAGGAGAAAGTGGTGGGGCTCTTCTTCTAAATCCAACCCCAGCACAGGCAGCACACCTGGTTGAGACTCTTGGCAGCAGAAACTGCATTGTGTGCCATGGTATGGAAATGACAGGACTGCCTTAGCCTGCCACAGGCCACCACATGAGGCTTCAGTGCTCAATCCCTCTGCTTCAGCAGCCTCATTGCTCAGTGGGATGTTGTGGCATTGGCACACATATGTTCTCAGACTAATGTTGCACAAGGAAAACAAAAAATTCCAGTGTTCAGGCACTGGAATCATGCAGCAAAGCTACAGCTGCCTTAGCCACACATAGCCATAAGGAAGGAGATTCGCTCCTTTCAAAGATCTTCTATAGCTCTGTAGGGAATGCAAAGAAACACAGATTAAAAAGTGCTTCCTCTTTCTCTCTTGCTGGGGCTGAGCAGATTGTCTCAGCAGTGTTTCCTGTGTTTGCCATGAAGAAAGCAAATGATCAGGATTAGGAAGTGAGTCATGATCACTTGGCATCACTGAGTATACCCATTCTAGCACAAAGCCAATGCACTAGAACATACACAAAACAAAAACCAAGAAAAAAAATAACGCCTGAAAATTCCTTAGAGCAAACAGTTGAACATCATTGTGAAATAGAAAGAAACCTGTGTCAAAATTGTAACTGCCTCCCCAGCCTAAAAGCCCAAAGACTATACCTAAGCAATCTCTTGGACCTTTCTTGTTCTTGTCCAGAAAGCCAGTGTGATAGCAACAGAAGTGACACATCGTTTCGGTTAACAAATTATTGCAATGTCATTGGTGTTATGCTTGAAAACCTCTTAGGGAACTTTAGGATCCATTGGTTTGCTACTATCTACAATAACTGTATTATTTTTTGGCTCCTACTACTGAAAACAGGAAAATCTGTGCAGGATCACCATTCTGTTTTCTCCATCTACTAGTAAACATCTGCAATTCTGGTTCCTTTATTCTCAGCTAGTATTTCCCAGCTATAAAACAAAAAGCTATAAAATGTATGTTAAAAGCCCCCCTCATTATAAACTGATTGATGTAGTTATGCAAGAGAAACTTACATCATTCTCCTGCACATCAGTCACTGTATGATGAGGATCAGGATAGTACTTCAAAAACTGGGCTACATAGGTCATGACAGACTTTTCATCTGGCTTGTCAACATCCACATCTAGACAAATATAGAAGACAGTAAATTATTTTTTAGCTGAATGGCACAAAATGCTACTTAAATGTCTAAACACTATAAGTGAGCACATCTGATTTAATCCATGCAAGTAGTTCAAACATTTTTCACCTATGCATTAGGTACCTTCTGGATCAAGGAGCCTTGGAATTCCTAGTTCTGCTTCTGCAAGTGTGAAAGCTTCTTCCAGGTTTTCTCTATTTGACCTTCCCCTTACTTTCTCCATGTCTACTAAATCTGGCCGGATAGCATGAATAACAGAATGAAAGGCAACACCACTCCTCCAACTTTGTCCAAAATCTTTGATTTCAATTCCAACTTGCCTAAAGAATATGAAAGGAAAAAAAAAAAAAAAGTGACTTGCAACAACATCAGGATTTGATTAAATAGGTGAGGAGACAGGATGCTCCACTCAGAGACTACCTGTCATTAAGCCTAAACCACTTATTGTTCCTGCAATGATAATCAGGTCAACTACAGTTCCATTTGTCCACTGCATAAATTCATTTCTGTCTATGAAGATCCAAGATTTTTTTGTCATATACACACTGTATTTGTCTCCAGTGTGCTTGTGAGTAATAATAAGCCAATGGCATTTTGAACAAATGGAGTGCACCAAGGTTCTCAGTGTTCTTGCACGACACACAGAGTCTGTGGATGTACACAATTTTGAAAGGTATGGTGATCCACAGACTGCAAGACTGTTTTTTACTTTGTCTGAATGTGCAAACTTCCTTTAAAGACATATTTAGACACTAAGGTAGTCTTGCCATTGGAAGGTTCACAGCAACAGTAACTCTAAATGAAAGCTTCATTCAAAGCTCACTGTAATCAGTGAAACACTTTCACTGATTTAATGAGCCATCCCTTGCAAATTACAATGGGAAGCAGGGCTAGGCAAAGTGTACTATCCTTCCTCTAGGCTTCTTTCACAACATTTCATCTACTTTTCCCAATAATGTTGACAGTTTTATTAACTTTGCGTTCTGTTTGTTTACATGTCTGGAAATTGCAGCTGATCACTTTCAGTTGTTTGTCTCTTACTGACAACAGTGCAATAGGAAGGATGCCAAATTAGACTGTATTGCACTATAAATTACTGTATTCTACCTATTTATTGGAGAAATTGAAAAAGTCTATATCTTTCTAATTATATTTCTTTCTCTGAGACACCATTCCATAACTCACCATTTCCCCTCCACATTTTGCACATGATCAATCTCTTCAAACAGCAGTGATTCCTTAATTTGAACAAATGAATTAATTTATTTTTTTTTACATCTTTGATTTTTATTTCCTTATTGTGGAAGGCATCAAACTACTATTGTAGCTTTGATCTAATTTATGCACTTTTTAATGCCTTTTTGGAAGCAGAGCAAATGTGAGATAATTATACCAAACAAAGGAGAATATTAACAGGAGATAGCAAGAAATAACTCCAAAATAACTTGGATTAAAAAGAATGAAAAATCAGGGCAATTTCTGTAGTAATATGTTCCTTGTATCACAAAACTGCAGAAGGGTATTCATAATTTTTCATCACCTGCTTTTCAACAGCAAGTACCAGAATTTTGTGCTCCTACAAGCTTTGTCACTGAGGAACGCTAAATTGGCATGGGACTTGCTTTGTCACATGAAGTGTTTTGGCAGCAAGACTAATATACTGTCATTCAGACATCTAATTGCCCTTTCATTTCCTCACTCTGTCAAAGATAATCCTGTCTATTATTCAGAAAATATAAAACATGGCTGCTTGTAAAATTAATGCAAATAGTTATTTATTACTTGCTTGTTGTATGGTGGTAACATTTAGCAGCCTCAGTTGCCAAAAAGAATATAATCACAGGGAGGTGCCATATAAATACAGAGCAAAAGGACAATTCCTGACCAAGAGAGTTTAGAATCTGAAGGAAACAATCTGCACTTAAGATATAAAATCAGTTCATTTGTAGGTTACTTACTTTGCTGCTGTGTATTGTATCCATTTTAACAAAGCCTTCCTGGCACTTCCTTGGACCTTGGTTACCACCTTCCGTTTGCTTGGGGGACTTGCAGTTTCTGAACTGACAACGCTCTCCACAGAAGAAGTGCTGCTAGATAATGTCTGGAGCTGTGGGAGGTTGCTGGTAAGCTCTTCAATCTGTGGGGAAAAAAAGTTAATGAACTGTTTGTAGATAATCTTCTTAATTCTCACCAGTTTCTTAAATTAGTTTCTAATACAACTGACAAAGTTAGGCAGAAGCTATGATCAGCATGCTGTGCTTTCATACATTAAAGTAGCTCAAAAATGCTAATGCATGTGCCCAGACGATGGTCTTAATTTCAGAAGTACAAGACATCTACCAATCATTGGCTTTATTGACACCCTACAGCTAGAAAAATATGTGTCATGTTATCTGTTATGACAATTTACCATTGAAATAGGAGATAATGGCTTAAATTGAGCTTAAACTCCAATCATAAGACAATCCACTAATTTCAGAGAAGGTTCATTTGATTAAAGAATGCAAGTGACCTCGGTGATCTCATCTGGATAGTTCTTTATTTACCATTGTACTGTTCTGGCTCAAATTCAATTGTGGTTTTGCTTAGAGGTACCTTGTGAAGGAATAGGGAAGGTACTGCAGGCAAAGTGCATTAGTAGTGCTTGCTGAGGGTGTATGACAGTTATTCATGTTGTGCCTTTCATCAGATGAAAATCATTAACTTGACTCTTTTAAGAACATTTTTAACTTAACAATTTGGTTCTTTAACATGAAAAAGTTACATCCATGGGACATTGCAAGACTGTCTATGCTGTCTACTTAAAAAACAGTTTTGTCGCATCACAGACTGAGCCTGCCACAATGAGAACTGCAGTTCTCATGCATTTTTGCTTTTATTAATTTTAAAATGATGTATCTGCCTGTGACAACTAAAGAAAAGCTCAAAAAATGACCAAGTAAAACTGATGCAGAGAACGAGAGTTTCAGTCACTCTGAGAAGCATAATTTTCCCTGTTCATCATAATGAGCTACAAATTAAAATAAAAATGTTAATATTGTTCTGGCTAACTTTTCTTCTGAGAAGATCTCAACCACTGAGACATTGCACTGGTTGGTGCTTAGGAGAACAGCATCCCTGAGACACAAAATTTACATAACATGAGAGTCAAAGTGAAAGAACTCTATAAAGTTGAGCAACAAAATCAGTTTGCTGTTGTTGTTTTTTTTGTTTTTTTTTTTTTAATTGTTGAGCAGTGACTCATTTTGTTAATTCATGTGGACAGGATTCACAAAACAATTTTTTTCCTCTCACCTAACTTCAACAGAATGGAAATTATTTCTCCTCTACAAATTCAAACCCCTCTCAATCTACACTATTCACTGGTAAATTTTATTTTTGCAAATATCTGCATCTCTCAGTGAAATCAGTATGTTTACATGGATTGTTTGAAAATAATTACTGTCTGATATCTAGTGCCCTGGAATTAGACATACAGCACAACCACCACTGAAGTTGTTAAAGGTATTTGTAACAGGAATCCACAGTTCTATTATTTTCTTTTGTTGCTCTGTTGTATTCTTCAGAAAAAGTGGAAGAATACGTTCCAGTCATGAAGGAAATCCATTCTAGGCCCAGACCAATCTATTCCAAAGACAAGTATTTAATTTTACCCAATGTGAGGCACGCCTACCATCAACTGTTGCTTTATTCAGGATCAGATCCTCAACTAATTTTAAAGTGACTTTGCCATGCTAAAAGACTGGAACTCTACCTGTTCATATGAAATGATGACCTGAACCATCGTTTGAGCAAGCTACACTGATGTATAAAAAATATAGTACCTGGAAGTATAAAATTATGGTCCACACCAAGCCAAGCACAATAGAAGGCCTACCATCAGCAATATCTGTTGAGTTTATGTTGACAAGCTTTATCTGTATAAGAAAGAAATCATGTCTTATTACCACACAAAAGGAATGATAACAATTATGAAATGCATTTCAAATATATTTTATATTTTTAATGCATTTTTTTTGCAATTAAATAACATGTTTCTTAATTTAAATTAAAAAAAAGTATTGAATGGTGCAATTTCACTTTTTAGACAAATATAGCTACAGGTAATGAAAGATTTTTAAGACCATTGCATGCTATTATTTGTAGAAAAAAATATTTCATTTCAAGCAGAAAGTATAATAAAAATTACATAGAACCATTGTACAAACCGGAGATCCTCTGTATATGGACTACCATGAAAAGCAAAGGGAAAAAGATGATACAAAAATAAGTTTTAAATGATTAATTACTAGGTGAACGCACTAATTGTATTTTATAATGCAAAGACAGAATATTTTTGGCACATCTTACAACACAATTAATAAGGAAAATAAATTAAATACTGCCCAACAGATTTTAAATTATGCAGGGGTTTCTTGCTACAGTTCTAATAGATTTAGAATGGAAAGAGAAAAGTGAGTTTAAGAATAAACAAGAAAAAGAAAAGGAATGGAGAAAATATAAAAGAAAGATAAGGTAAAATAAGAATGCCACAGTTCTCCAGTAGAGAGCCTCTTACGGTAAAGGATATTGCCACCACTGACTAAGGCTCCCTTGCAACACAAACCTAACTATGGTTCTTTTAAAATAAGAAAAGTGTTGGAAAAAATGAGTTGTCGAAGGTCACATGAAGTTTTCAACAGAAACAGGAACAGATTCCATGACTTTTAACTCCCAAATGCTAATCTATAGTAAAATAACAATTTAAGTGAATAAAGTAATGTCCTAAAATAAGGTCATAAGGTAAAAGGCAGCAAAGGAGAGGATAAAGACGATATCATAAAGAAAATGACAGACAGATAATGCTGAAGGAAATGGAATAAACCAAGCAGCATTGGAAAATTAGCAAATATGTTAATAATTATTTCCTCAGCAAAACTAAGAATCTGCTGTCAATCATGATATAAATGTGAAGGGCTGCTGAAGTGTTCATGCACTGCAAGCTTGTTCATGGAAAAAGGTTATGGAAAAACCTTGGAGAACAGGTTAAACAAAACCAGAATTACTTTAGGTGACCTAATTTGTCTCTCCAAATCAGACAAAAGAGGGCAGTTCTCTGAATCAACAGCTGGAAACCCACTAGATAATGTCAACAACAAACAAAAAAATGTTGTTCAGGGCTGTGAAACTCTTTTTAGAATTAATTTCACAGGCTGCTTGGGAAGAGGCAGAGGATAAATTTCCACACGTTATATTTCCAATCTTCTCCACCAAGAAATCTGAAAAAACTCTGGAAAATTGTCATTACTTACTTCTCTACAAGTCAATAAGGAGAATTTTCTATTGCCTACCAAAAGAAAAATATACCAAATATCTCCGTCTCTCAGTTGGACCAATTCCAACAAAAGCTTTTCTTATTCCAGAAAGCAAGGCTTTTCTTATATGTATTATAGATAAAAGATTTACAGGGATTCAGCTAAAGCTTCTGATTAGGCTATTGTTCACAGAAGCATGGCCTGTCTAATCTAGTTATTGTGTTACCTTTCTCTTATATGCCATTAAAACGGATCTAGAACTAGAAAATAAATTTTTCAGAACCATGAAAAAAACAGTTTGGTCCAGAACATTAATCACCAGCTGCATTTTGCAGTATAAAAGGAGCATTTGCAGACATCTGTCTGGACAGTGAAAATAGGAAGTTGATTAAATGTGTAATAAACTTTACTTTTGGGAGATGGAGGAAGACCCTGCCAGCACTCTCCAGAGTGCTGCGCACAGCCACCCATCTCCATTCATTCACCTTTGAGTACAGACCAGGGACTGCACTCAGCTGCTGAATAGGTATTTGTTGCCTGAAGAGCACCTCCACCTCCTCTGTGAAGAAAAGGGTGACAGACTGGATAGATGCATTCGTCAGGTTGGTTTCAACCTAGAAACCACTTGCTAATGTACAACAATCTACCTGAGACATTGCATATTTCCAAATCCCTCTGGAAGAAAACCTGGCATATTGATACAAAGTACATACAAAAATAACTAAGACAAGTCCGGACAAAAATACTCAGATATCAGAAGCAAAACCATGGTGTTCTATTTCTGGCAGTCTGTCTTGATCTTCATCAGAGTCAGTTATGTAGCTGCACTGCTAAATAATTTCTGGGATCTAAGCTGGGTCATTCAAAGTTCAGGTCATCCACTACATTGTGACATGCAAACTAGGGAAGCACAGATTTTTTGCTCTTCCAGCCTTGTCTCAGGTTACACAAGTGTCAGCAGAAAGCAGCTTTCTTTTTATCTAAGCCTCCACTCTCTGGCTGCGTATGATATAGTTTGCGTTAACTAACTGTACTACATAAAATAAAGAAATTGTGAGCTAAAGCTGAATTTTGCTTTTGGAATATATTTGTCTTTGCTTTGGTTATGCATTTTTTATTTAAAAAGTTATCTTACAGTTGTCTTTCTACAGGCATCTGCTAAAATTGTGTTCAATGTAACAGAAATATAATTACGTCAAGATGCCATGGGGTTAAAGAGAGGGAAAGAATTCCAAAACCCAACAGCATTGTTGTGTGTACAGCATTTTTGAGACATTAAATTCATCAGATGTTACATCTGCATTGAGAAAAACTGAACTAAAATGCAGAAATTAGAACAAAATATCTGCAATCAAATTAAAAAAAAACAGATACAAGTCATTACAATACAGAGACAAGTTAGGAAAAAAGGTTGAAGTAGATTGCTTTTATTTCATATTCATACCTAGATCACATTGAGCTTTTAGATTTTATGTCTTGTGTTAAATTTATAAAACCTTTTTTGTCATTTCTAAAATGGCCACAGCACTGACTTTACCAGAACCAATCCAGGAATTAGTCTGAAGTTATGCCAAACTAATAAGGGGTCACACTGTTCTAAATTTTCATGTCTACACTCTTAAGGAGTAGAGTTTTGTATGTACAACCTAAAGAAGTCCATAAATCTATTATTTTAATTATAAATTAATGCCTCTACTGAACTGAATCATTGTTTTTTTTGCTGAGAATAGCAATAGGAATGCAGGAAACACGAGGAGCTGAAGAAGACAATTAAAAAAAAAAAAAAAAAAAGGGAAGGAGATCATCCAAGGTTATTCTAACTAAATATTTAAAATGAAAAGTCTTATCCTATACATTGCTATACATTAGTGTTGGATCTTGTCATTTTTTACTTTACATCGGCTTTTAGGCACTGTGTAGAAACCAAAGACTGCATACATAGCTCAGATTTTGGAGAATAAGAATAGGTAGGTGATTACAAATCATACTTTTAAGGAAAGAAGCTAAAAAAGAAGGAAGAAGTAAGACTAAGTGCTACTGAACCTACCCGTCTTCCTTCTAGAAACTTAAGAGCTGTGCCAATGTTGGCAACCCAGTGAATTCTCTTCAGCTGACGTCCCTGTTCACAAGGCTTAAAGAGAAAGAACAATGTAAATTCCAGTTAAATTTATGTCAATTTGCTGCCGAAAATGAAGTTCCAGATTATTACAAATGCCTATGTACATACCATAGTCCGATTTACATGTAAAAATTTCCTTGGAACAGTCAAATTATATCTTTGCATATACAAACAGGGAGAACTGACAGATAAAGGGGACGTAAATGTGATACTTTTATTATAAAAAATTATATGTCTTAATAACCTCAGGATGCAAACTGTCAGCTTCCACCCATAAACTACATCAAATCAGAGAACTGTTTTCCTTACATAAAATAAACTACAACTATTTTTATACACACACACACATATATATTTATATTTGAGAGAGGGCAACATTCTCTCAAGTAAAATATTTTTGTCTGCAAAGGAGAAATCAAGGTGGTTGTTATTTTTAAAAATCAGTCTGCAGTCAAGACATTTTACTTAGAGGATTTTTATCCACTCTTTCTAACACCTTATTGTCAGTTAAAAAACCCAACTATCACAAACTGTCATTAAACAATGAATTTTGCTAGACTTCATACATGTAGACTAAAAAAAGGCAGAATTTGAATTTAATCAAGAACATATCCTAGGCTTCTAATGCTCTACAGTGGAATTAAATTCCCCACTGAATCTAACACTTTAGTGCAAATATACAACTACTACCATTTAAATTCATGTTCATAAAGTTACAAATGGATTTAACAAAGGCCTGCTATAGATTCTAAATTTCCTCTTGCAGTTATTACAAAATATAATATTCTGGTATACATAAACTTTAAATTAACCATTCATTATTCTGGTTCTGTAATATCTCTTGTTTTCAGTAATTAAAATAGGCAGGATACAATCCAGTTAATTTCATTGTAACAAGTGCCGTCATTAAAATTCTTTTCCTGTTTTACTACTTGTGTTTTGCCACCAGAGGGAGACTTTCTGTCTTAGACAAACAAATAATTGTATTTCCACAGAGCAGAAACACATTTGAAAGTATCGGTTTTTTCCTATCTTGCAGTAAAATCACTCTTGCAGTCTGAATTACTATCTAGTTTTGGGTATCACCTGCAACCAAAACAGAGGTGAAATATGAAAAAGAGGCAAAAGTGTAGCACTTGCAAATTGCCTGCATGTGAGGGAACAGGTAATGTCTGAACCCTCAAGCAAGCCGAATGACAGACTGTTGCTCTGCTCTTCAGATGCCGCCATCATCTGTGAACTGGTTTGGAAAAAGTGAGAGCCCATGGCCTACAACTCTTTTAATTTTCTTCCCACATCACATGCACAAAACTAGCCTGGCTCCCAAAAGACAGCCTGTTTACCATCTACACACTGTGGCATCTATACACAACTTGGCTGTGAAAAAGCCATTTGGCATCAATTAAGGTTCTTTACAGTAGTGGAGCAACTGTCAAGGTAAATGGATATAAGATCCCATGAAATTTGAGGGGGTCATTTTTTTTTTTTTTTTTCCAGAGAGAAAACCATAAATTTAACAAGAAAAGACTGTCATTGTTTCTTCAAGATGTATAGAAATAACTTGCAGTTTAGACCTTCTTTGTGTCATAGTAGTAACACTCAGATGAACTGCAAAGATTAATTAATAAGCAATTTTTATTAACTACTAACACAAAATTAATAGAAAGTGCATACAACGAAGAATGTCAGTCTTTAGTAATATTTTTGTTTTGTTTTGTAACCAGATAGCCCACTCTGTAAATAAACTTATTTTCCTATGTAACAGTCAAGTTTTTTACAGTATTCAAATATAGAACATATTAGGAAATTATATCCTAGAGAAGTTATGTAACTATTTTGTATATTCAGAAGGAAAGAAGTTCTTACCAGCTTCTGCCCTGAAAGAACCTCCAAAAGGGCAATTAGCATTACCCCATCTTTGATATCTTCAAACAGATCATTCACCAGCATGGGAGGATTGCGCTGAAAAGGGAGAAGACTTCAGATATTATAAAGGCTCAGCAGCACTACATCCTACTTCCCTTCCTTTGAAACAGAAGCACAAAGAGTGGCTGGTTCCCTTCTTCATGTTTTATAATGTTTAATATCAATTTATCATTTAACCATTGCTTTGCCACCATATTGTTTAACTATTTCACATTTCTGGTGCAGGACTGTAACACTAGATGCTTTCTACCACTAATGATACAATGGAAAAACTTCCTGCTCCCTAAAACAAGGAAAGAAATACACCAACTGCCCACAAGTCTATAAAATATGCACAACTTACAGATTAACTATTACAGTTGCATTTCAATCTATTAACATATTTTGCCTAGTGTTAAGTATGTCACAGAAATTTCACTCTCTCAGCCCGAGCAATACAAGGAGCTGTATGAAAGGAAGATCCCTAAAGCACTGTAGCTGGTTGAGCAACGCTGCGACTTTCTCACAGCTGACACTTTCTCACAGTTGTTACACTAAGTTGCTGTGTTTTCTCTGCTTTCCTCCAGGTCTTGCAGGCTTCCAGTGCTGTTAGCACTGTGTCAGCTTCTACTTGAGACAAATTGCTTAGCATATGTCTTACGTTCACCAACACAACAATGAAAATACTGAAAAATATGTAAACAGATGATGTCTTGGGAATTTTGAATAACAAACTCTATGTTCTTAAACACACCCCAGTTTGTGGAACTATGGCTCTCAGCTGGGCAGCACTTTTAATGACCACAAAATGTGTCTTGAAACAAAAAGTTTAAATGTGGTCCAGCTGAAATGAATTAAATAAATACCCTCTAGCTTCCACGAGCTTGTTGGCATTCATACACCTGCTAATGAACATAATACTAATATTCATACCTGCTAATTCACTAAAATGACAATCAGACTACAAAATTCTTGAAATTCCTTTAGGTTTAATATTTTATTTCTGGTATACTTCTGAAAAAAAAGATGCTTTTACAAAAACTTCATCTGTTACTGCTCTTCTGTAGGAACATAGATTTGAAAAGATGAACCTAGCAAATGAAACACTGCTCTTGAAAAGGTAAAAACACTATAACAAATCGAGAGAAAGCAAAGGTTTCTAGTTCCCAAAATCAAAACATCCTGCCTTCATTGTTCAGCTGTGGTGAACTAATATTTTAATGAGATATAATTTTGGCATAAAGTGGAAAAAGAACTCCTCTGCTGAAAGCAGACTTCATATGAGATTTGACGTGCTCATATAGCCACAATAATAAAAAGAATATATTTTCTCTTGTTTATAAATAAAAGCAGCATTAAAACTCATATATACCCATTATTAGGGTATATTTAATCATAGTTCTTTTTCATTTCCTAGCAATGCAATAGATAATGGATCATGTTCTTCCTTGATATAACACCAAAGAAATCAAAGAAGCAAACAGGTCACTGGAGATTAATTTGTCCCAGTCTTGCATCACAGGCAGTTGACAGAAATGTAATTAATTTTCCTCACCTTCTATGTTATCATTTCCTGTTTGAAGTTGAGAACAACTTTGGTTTTATCAGTATTACTGCATGATATAGTACTGAAGAATTATGTGCAAAAATAATTCGGCAATAAAGACAAGAGCATTACAGCAGCTGCCATCCTAATCCAACAGGAGGTGAAGGCCTAAAACATCTCACCACCTATCTAAATGGCCCAGTAGTGAGGTTTGATCTTGTGGCACAGCTGTTGCAACAGCTGTGCCACAAGAACTCCTGTACAAGAATCCTCTAATATGGAAAATTGTCAGTCCAACTATATGGACTGACAAAAATGTTCTCCATAATACACTTCATAGTATAATGTTTTTCACTACCCTGAAGATGTTAACTCCTAATTACAAGGAGGTAAAATCCTCATTGTGTTTCATAAATCATGAGGTTTTTTACTCCTCTGGGCACATAGCATAGAATCTACCCTATTATTATGCCTCCAGTCTCTCTCAGAGTATTTAATGAGTTATATTTTTAGTGGTATACACAGAAGAATAGATTCCTCTTTAACATAAGGATTCCATATATATCAATCTTATTCCCCATGTCAATACAACTCAGGAAGACTGATACACTAGCTGATACTGAGAAGTTCATATCTCCTTATTTTTAGCACATGGACCATTGCACAGGATGGCTCAAGCTGTTTTTCCAGGCAGATCCTCTATTGAGATTAACACAACATCTCCTATTAGAATGGGTAAATACCTACTCCTTGGCTGCATATATAACATCAAATGAAATGAAAGAAGAAAGTGAAGCTGTACAATGCTTACTTATTAGCCTCCAGAGAAGAAAGGGGGTATTTTACAGCTATGTTCAGTTAAAATCTATTGAATACTTTTTATTATAAAGACTCAACAGGACTTAATACCTATTCACTTAGTTGCCTTAAAGCACTGCCAAAATACTAATTGTAAATCAGTAAAACCAGGGAAAGGAAACTAAATTAAAATTTTGTAATCTTGAAAATATTGAATGTAGTCCAGAGTTTGTTTTTTTGCCTGTAAATGTATAGCTGTAACAACGCAATCAACTCCAATGATCCTAATGCACTGTGTTTCGAATGTTGGAAAGCCTGTGCAAAGAATTTAATGAAATAATTTTTAAACTAGGAAAAATGAACATTCAAAAAGTATATGAAGTAAACTCTCAAAATCCTATAATACTAAGCTGTTATTTATAAACTTCTTGAGTAAAATTATGTGGGGGAACTCAGAATATACTTTGATGAACAATCAGATGTTAAATCTACAACTTGTTGGGTCTACACTAAGATTTCAGATGCCTTAGTATTTGATTTTATTGTTTCGTAAGCTTCTTCAAGAAAGCAAAATAATTCTAATGATATGCTACATACCGGAATGCATGTCTTCTATTAAATACTCATTTATTGAATTATATGCAATCACAGTTGTGTAGGTTATAGTGACAATGACATTTAGGAACAGTCATGTCACAAAGAGGGAGGCACATAGTACAAATAAATTCATGTGCTCTGTAGGAGGGATATAAATTAATTGGGAATGAATCTTAAATGTTAATGAACCAGATTATTCCCATATTAAATATTTATTTAAATAACTGCATTTAGAATTGATCACAAATGGGTACTTATGAGGAAATGCTTTGCTAAAACTTGTTGGTCTTACAAACTTACCTAATTTGCTGTGGTGTTCAGGAAATATTCTGAATGATGTAAAGAACTGAACAATGATACATATGATATGTAATTTTTTGACTTGAAGAGTAGTTTTTGATATGAAAAGTATTTGACTAATAAGCCTCAAAAAAGGTATTTCCAATAGACCTGCAATCTCTAGACGTTCCTCCTCTGACAACAGTAAAATAAGTTTTGTAAAATCCAAACCTCAGATATGGAACTAATGTATATTTGCTAAGCTTCACTCTTCTATTCCAACACTTTTTCTTGCATTTCATTTCTCATTTACACCTTTGCTACAGGCATCTTTTCCTCATATCCTGTACTTTACTTCTTCAATGAATAAATCATACTGTACAAACAACAGTATCTGCATCATAATGGACAGCAATGCAAACGTTGGAAACTACCTTTGCTACATTAATTTTCAAATAATGTTTCAAAAACTGATGAAAAAAATGTGTGAGAACCTATCGTCATGCACAAACAGGAAAATATCTGATTTTTTCTCTGCAGGGAAATACATGTGGGAACAAGAAAGAGAACGTGAAATTTCAGTGTTACTCTTTAATAGCTGGCCCACTCCTCTGCCCCAATTTAATTCCTAAATCTTTAAGCACATAGATTTCCCTGTTCCTTGCTGTTAATCACTATTTTTATGACTAAAGTCTGAGGGACTCAGCCATAAATTTTACATTATTAGTTTAATGAGACAAATTAATTTAGCATTCACTCTTCAACATTAGAGGTTATATGCAATACTAGGGAAAACGCACAGCAACTGCTGGAGCAGAAAGCTGTCAGTCAGTTTTTCTTCATCATGCAATCAAGATAGATATTAGCTTAAATTTTTTCTGTGTCGGTGACTAAGATACTGGGAGCCTCTATTTTCTCATTTAAAATAGAAAAAAAGACACAGAATTACTTAGTTCATTGATGAAAATTGGTGAAGCTCTTGTATAAGACCATGTTACATTCTAAGAACAAACTACCATCACTGACAGCATTGTGAGCGCTGTAAATCTTAATATAATAATTTCTTTTTCCTCCTTTCTTTGCTATAAAACATATCATTTTGCAATTTCAAAAGCTTTAATGTAAGATTTAATGCCCAGGTTTAATTCAGCATTGCGAAACCATTGTGTAAATTTAATCTAAAAATTATAGATTCTCCCATTCTTAGTTTTATTTTTGCTTTATAGCTTTCTTCTGCTTTTTTTTTTGTTGTTGTTGTTGATATGTTCATCATTTTAATGGAAATACAAAATTAATAACAATTTATTTCAGCATATATTTGTTATTCACTCTATTTGGTGAGTTTACAACAATATTTTAGTGAGTACAAATACTGAAGTTATCCCTAAACCTGGGAACAAAGATATTATTTGATGAGGTTAAACCAATTTATAGTCTGTGTTCCAAAGCTTTGAAACTACCGTTTCCCAACACTTTCACCAAAGGTGACAAAGGCAATAAAGTGCATATGACTGTTGTTTTACAAAGAGGCAAGTTTTTCATCTTTACTCATCTAATCCACTATCTAAAAAATTGGCATAGGCAATGAAATGAAAGACATGTAAGCAATTGTTGTTCTGAATGGATATAATGTCTCCTTTTTGACATATTTGGTGTAACGTTGTTTAGTATTTTAAACTTGGACCGTGAAAGATGGCTCAAGATACTAAGAAGCATACTCAAATTATTTATTTGTCTTTGAAGGCTGAGACTGAGAGGAGGAAGGTCCAGTTCAGGTTGGTTGAAGCTTTGAGAAACCTGGTCTAGTGGAAGGTGTCCCTGCCCGTGGCAGGTGGGTTGGAACTACATGATCTTTAAGGACCCTTCCAACCCAAACCGTTCTATGATTTAATGACATAAGAATAAATAACATGCAATTAGAAAACTTCCTGTCCTGTGACACATGCATATCATCACATTTATCATTAGCACCACCTCACAGATGCACAAAAATTAAACTTCATTGACAAAGATAGATCACACGCCTTCCTGTGTAATCTCATCTATGTGTTCCTGCTCTGGCAGGGGGATTGGACTAGATGATTTTTCGAGGCCCCTTGCAATCCCTAACATTCTATGATTCTGTGATTCTGTGTGATTTGATAGATTGTGATGCAATTTCTGCCAGCAGGTGGCAGAGAAAAGAAATGATTTCCAGTTGATGAGTCTCACTGGAGTCAGTATCACAGGACACATTCAGCTGTAGTTAAGAGAGACAGACAATAGAGGAACAGATACAACCTAGTGCTAAAAGCTGACCCAAAATGTTCTTCCCCTATGGGACATTGCCCTGTGGGTGAGGGCATAACTTGTGGTAGGGCTGTTTTACCTCAATCTTACTTTGAGGTGTCCCATAATTAGCTGATGCCAAGTCTTTTACCTGTCTTCTGCTTTTGAAAGAACATACCTTTGAATTAGGAAACAGAATTTTAAAAAGGTAGCATTCTACTGTAAGAGCAAGAGAGAAGAAAAAAATTGTACCTCCCTCCTACTCCTTTTCATAAAGTTAAATTCATAGAACCATAGAGTCAAGGAATAATTTAGGTTGGAAAAGACCTTTAAGATCATCAAGTCCAACCATAAACCTAATACTGCCAAGTCCCTGACTAAACCGTGTCCCTAAGCACCACATCTACATATCTTTTAAATACCTCCAGGGATGGTGACTCAACCACGTCCCTGGGCAACCTGTTCCAATGCTTGATAACCCTTTCAGTGAAGAATTTTCACCAGTACTCTCATTACATTTATCTGTTGTGGTTTTTTTTCACTCTTACTTATTTGTATCTCACTGCCTGTGTGGCATTTTTCCCTTTCTTAAACACACCCTCCCAGAGGCACCATCAGCTTGACTGAGGGGCTCAGCCATGTCCTGCTGTAACTGGCCGTGTCCTCACAGAGGCTGCCCTGCAGCCCCCTGCCACCATCACCTCCACACCTGCACCCAGTCCAGCCCTACATCTCCTTCCATATTATTTAACCCCAGTGTAACTTCACTGGCTTTAACAGAAGTATGCATTGCTGTTTCTCTGCTACCAGCATGAGATCAGCACTTCATGGTGTTCCTCACTAGGTACATTTTAAGAGGTGCTCCACATTTTATTTGGTTCAAAGAAGAGAGCAGAATGCAGAAAATGCTGCCTGAAAGTGGGTCTCCTTCCAGGATTTTTCCTTATCACATTTCAAAAGCCTCCAGATAAAGGAGATGTTATAGTTTTACAATTTTTTTGAAATAATAAAACCCACAACTATCTTTTACAAGAATCAGGTAACCAATTCGGAACACGAGTGCAAGGGGAGTATTTCCTATAGTGATGATGAACTCAGAAAACGTATTTCCACGCTTTCCAAAAATAAGACTAACAAGGATTTAAAAGCTTAAGCTTTAAAAACTTAAAGATCTGAACAGCATGGGTCATTTCTCTTCTGTTGAGTCTAATCTCAGTAATCTATGAACAGTGCTTGTCCTGTGGCAGCATAGCAGCATAAATGGGAAGCAAGAGAGCTAATCTATATATCTGGCTTAGGCAGTGAGGAAAATTTGCTGACAGCCATCAATAAAAGTATCATAGAAACAACTTTCCTATTAAAAAGTTAATTAATACCAACCAATTACTACAGGGTAGCTCAGACAGCTAAAAGTGAAGGCTTTGGTTAGTTAAGCGTTTGGTTTGAATGTATGCGTTTGATTAACCTTTACAATATCAGACCCGTTAAAGAAATATACCCCTAGATCACACAAGTCAAAAGGTTTACCTGAGCCCTCATGGCCCAAAGTGACTAGTACAGTAGAGGCAGCATTTACAACTCTCAATCCAGAGCAAAATCTCTTAACGGAGCTGCCACCACAACTTTGTCTCTTCCCAAGGATTAGTCAGTTACTACTAGCAAATTATCAGTACAAGCACACACATACATAAGTATACCTGACAATATGTACATAGATCTACTTGTCAATTATTATTGGATATTACTGACTAGTGATACAACACAATTAAGAAATAGAAGAACATGAAATAAGAGTTCTTTTTCTCCCCTGACACATCTGCACAGCCTACTTTGCTAACACTTTAGCAAATACTGAATGTCTTTCCATCTCGGTTGAAGTAAATGGAGCACACATAGTGCCTAAATTCTCTGCTGCATGAGGGACTTTTCCAAATTATTTCAAAGAGAATAGGGGGACAGACTGCATTCCCAGTGAGGATCCACTGTCAAGAGGTCCTGAAGATGACCTTGTTCTTGCAGCTGAATTTTACAAGGCCAATGTAGTTCATTTCACAGTAAATTCCTCAATTGTGTTCCACAGCAATGTAAAGAAAGGTTGTTGCTCTACCATACAGTCCCATTAAAACAAATCACATGATATAGCATTATATAGGCTTCCTGCTTTGCTCTGTTCATTTCTGAGGGCATTATTAGCCAATTTCTTATACAGAAGCTAAAACAGTGCTTTTGCAGCTATTCTTTGCTCAATTTGCAAGTTCATTAATCTTCATGATTTAATACATACTTCAAAGACCACCTCTAGTGTTTAAATATTTTAATTTACTGGACTGATTGATAATTATAGTTAGAGCTCTGCTGTGTGAAAACTCTGGGAAATTAAATCTCACTGCTTATGTTATCAGATAAAGTTTATACCAGTTGTAGCTTAATACTTTTTAAATTGTGTGTAAATCACTGTCTTTATTCTGCTAAAACCAGAAGAGGAGTTTAGGTTGTGGTAACAAGAAGCAACAATAGTTTCATGATAAATCACAAGATGCATCAGACAAGTAACTCGACACAGAATTAATGGAGCACTATTTATGTTTGTAAACAGTTCAGGGTGCCTCTATCAAACGACACAACAACTGACTGAAATTTTATTCGTATACACTTTATGTAATAAGGCTAATATTTCTGTTTCATAGTAAGCAGTTTCAAATATTTCCTCTGTCTGAAATAGCAGCTACTGTGCTACCTTTCAGTTTTGGCCAAAGGAGCTGAGTGGTTGCCTGTAGACGCCACTCACACTGCTGCAGCTGACTGCTACCATGCTGACATGGATTCATCCTCTACATGCTGTACAGATAACGGGGATTTCAAAGCCATATATTACCTTGGCCAGATGAGTATTGATCCATTTTGTGAAAGTCCTTTTCTGCACTGACTCTTGTTCATCTGAGAAAAAAAGGAAATCAGTTTGATTAGACATTGCAGAATAATTTTGGATTTACATAATGGAAGAGTAGTATTCCCTACTGACAACAAACACAGTCTGCCTTTGCTGGAAATGCTGCTATATTTTCTTGAAACTGTTAATTTTGCCTGTAACTACCCATAACAAATACTTCATATTTTTACAATAATGCTCTGACACTTGACTATTTAAAGAGTTTCACAGCAAAGTTCAAATCTTTACGAGTCAATGACCAGTAAGATAATATTTCAAATTTTATTGCCAAGATAAATTTGAATTCTAAGTCCATACTATATTTACCCAAGGTCTAAGCACCTAGAACTTCTCTGTACTTTTAAAATAGAATCCATTTTTCTGTCAGTCAAGTTGCTTTTATGTAGAAAGTCAGCTAGGGACTTAGAAAAAATATTCTTAGCATGTATATTTAAAAATGTTTAGAATATTGCATTAAAGATTTGAAATTGTATTATCAAGTTTATTTGCCTTCTGGGAGATCTTGCCAGGGAGGAGCCATTAGTTAGTTCAGGCAGTTTCTATACTGCTACTTACTACCTCCCTTAGTCCTGTCTTGAAGCACTTGTCTGATTTCTAGTGAATTTCACTGATTCTCAGATAGTCCCTCAGGGACTGTTGTCAGCTGCATAGACAAAAATAGCTCCTGAATGAGCTCCTCCAACTTCTGCAGCTGGGGTCATGGCTGCAGAGAGAAGAGAATCACAGCGCCATAACCAATCCACAAAGTCTTGTCCCTTCCTTGTCAGGAATCAGGTTTGACACATGGAATAATTTCACACCAGTGGTATTCAAATACTGGTTGGAGACTTTCAAAAATAAAAGGAAATACCTATTTCACTGGAAAACAAATCATGTTATTATCATCATCAGTTCTGAATGAGCACCTTCATTTCTGTACAGAAAATCCAAATAAATAAAACTGCTGTTAAATATTTAGTTTATCAGAACACATGCACATCCCAAAACCTACAGATGGAAAATGTGATTTTAGATACTGCCTTTGCTACTGACTTGTGCAGCGCTGAATAGTGATTTGATCTCTCACATTTGTAAAATTAAAAAGGAATATTATTTAATCCCTTTTAAAGCTCTGGAATAGACAGCTACTAAGTTTGATGTACTACTACTAAGATCCCTGCTTTACACTCACACAATGCTGCTCCACAATGAGGGTACAGAAAGATACAAATCACGGCACAAAATTAATCAGATAAATGTTATCTTAAGCAGGACAACGATAGCTCCCTGGCCACATATGAGGTCCCAAAAAGTGTTTGTGCATTATGACACAAGGATTGTATATTTTCTCTACATATAAACATTATCTCACATATAATACCATAGGAAAAAAAAAAAAAAGAAAAGAAAAGATACCTATCTCTCCAGCTAATCTATTGCTAGATCAGCACACTTCACGCCTAAGAAAAGAATTTTGCATTCTTTATCTTCTTCTTTGATTTCACTGGGTAGGCTGTCTTACATAATTTTAAAAACATTAATTACATCCTCAGAATCTACTTGTTGCACTGACAAGCGAGTTATGAGAAATATCACTCAAAATACTGACTATTCAACACTGACTATTTTTGGCAAGGGGTGTCTTTACTTTATATGTGATAATTGTTTCTACATTATGGAAAACAGATCTCACTGTACGGTTTCTAATAACGAACAACATATTTCCCTCACGACATACAGTAAATGCCAGCTCTGCTCTGACAAGCAGTTACGTACACAGGTAGCCCAATTAATTTCAGTGGGAGTACTTGCACACTTTGAGTTGTGTGTGAAGTGTGGGGATGGAGAATGAATGCACATAGAATCAGTCCAGCTTTGGCTTCATTCACATCTCTGTAACTTAAAATTCCTCAGCAACCCTGATAGAATGACATGCCAAAGGAAAAGAACCAGGTCATCAAAGAAATGAGTAAAAATTACTCCCTAATTTGTAGTTCCAGTGCATCCTAGTGATTAAAGAAGCAGCCTTCTGACAACAACTAATAAACAGACAACCAGCTCCTGGTTCTCTTTTTATTTACCAGCAGAAGACGTACTCAGTTTCAGTCATATCAACATACAGCAGAAATAGCCTTTCAAAATAACCTGTTTCAAGGGAATTTATGTGAGTAATATATTCTTTATGAGCCCAACAGCAATTATTAATAATAAAATTTCCTTTTTTTAGCACTTGTTTTGTATAGGCTTAAAAGGAACAGATTTTACCACTGTAAAACCTATATCTGTACATAACTCAAGTAATGCATTGATTTTACAAATTCCATTATCAACATGCATTTTATAAATTTCCCTGGAAGCAAACATGCTATTTCCATTGAACTGATGTAAATTCTCTGCAGAGGTATTGTTCATCTATACCCACAAGACGCATGTGCCATATAGTTTCTTATGCTCTCCCCACTTGCAAGGACTGTCAGCTCCTTACTTGCACCACTTACCCTGTTGGTGCTGAAAGAACCCAGGAAGCAGATTTAACGATGCAATGTTTCTGACACCAGCACCTTTGTAGCGAGCCATAAGCACTGCTGCTGCTGCTGCTGCTGCGGCTGCTATTCCTGTCTTGTGTAGTGTGCAGCTTCTCTTTAGAATTCAACCAGAAGTAATTCTTCAAGAACAATCTGATTTTTTTTCCTTCACTGGAAACACAGGTCTCTTACACAAATCCCTCCACCTGCTCTTACCGGAAAATTCACATGAAGCCAAACCTTAAAAATATATTTACATATTCTTGCAGAGATGCAACAGCCAGCCAAAGCCAGCTGTATTGGAAGCAGCAGCTTTGCTGGTCTCACTGCCATCATCCTTCTCCACTGTTTTCCTGTGGAGAGATTTTATTATCCAAGCACCAGCCAATCAGCTAGTGGAAATATGTGATGTCAAGAGCCTGAATAATTCATCCAGGGACTGGGACAACCCAACTACACTGTCAATATCCTAAAGCAGTAAGATGTGTGGCTGCAAAAAGCAATACAGTCTTCTCACCAGTGCTTTTGTAACAATGTACTGCTCAGAAAGCATAAAAATGGCTGAATGGCATAACCCTCCTCTACATTGTCATGCATATAAAAGAAAGCAGCTTTTAAAAGCAACCACTTGGGTTCATCACTGCATACTCTATTTAGACATGGATGTCCTTCAGCTTTGCAGCTGAAACAGTGAAGTGGAACAAATAGCAAGCAATGAATCTGAGCAGACACGTAGGCCACTTAGCTTTTAATAATATATATGAACTGTTGTACAAGGATGAAACATATGTAAGGATGCATAGAATTTTTGGAGTGCACCTATATCAGCCTGAAATAAACTCAAATTTCTGATAATATGCAGTACTTTCTATTTCATTAAATCAGAGCACCAGTGCATTTGAACAGACTTTGTTTTGCTCTGGTAAAATTAAGGCAGTTATGAAACACTATGTGTGGAGATTCATATGTTGTTCACCCACAAGGGTCAACAGAGTAATACACACTATTGAAATGAGAATAAAAGGCTCACTTATATTATGGAATTACAGTAAATATATCGTAATAGAGGTTGAATTAAAATCTCTATTTTTTTAAAATGCAATGACAGACAAGATGATTCTGCATCTGAAATAAATGCTGCAAGAAAGTTTGGTATTATTTAATCAAATGTCTTAATTGGCTGGAAATAGTTTCATTACTTTTACAAACTTTTCTCTACCAAAGCACCACCAACAGGCTGCATTTTTAGGTTGATTAGGGAAAAAGGACAAATGTAATTGGGCATATTTACTTAAAAACATTTAGAACAAATTATTTTGAAACATGAACAAAACCAACCATGTATCTTCAGATAGGAATATGCTGATTAAATATTCATCAAGCATGCATATTATAATGGCTAGTATCATTTATACCATAATATATCACAGAATCACAGAATGGTATGTCCAATGGAAGGGACCCCTGGAGATCATCTAGTCCAACCTCCCTGCCAAAGCAGGATCACCTAGAGCAAGTTGCACAGAACTGCATCCAGGCAGGTTTTGAATATCTCCAGAGATGGATACACCACAACCTCTCTGGGCAGCCTGTTCCAGGGCTCTGGCACCCTCACAGTAAAGAAATTTTTCCTCATGTTTAAGTGGAACCTCCTGTGTTCCAGCTTGTGCCCATTGCCTCTTGTCTTGTCGTTGGCCACCACTGAATAGTCTGGCCCCAACCTCTTAACATCCGCCCTTTAGATATTTATAAATATTGATAATGTCCCCCCTCAGTTTTTTCTTCTCTAGACTAAACAGACCCAGCTCTCGCAGCCTTTACTCATTTGAAAGATGCTCCAGCCTCTTAATCATCTTCATAGCCCTCCACTGAACTCTCTCCAGAAGTTCCCTTTCTCTCTTGAACTGGGGACCCCAGAGGTGGACAAAATATTCCAGATGCGGTCTCAACAGTGGAGAGTAGAGGGGGAGGAGAACCTCCCTCGACCTGCTGGTCACACTCTTCTTAATGCAGCCCAGGATACCATTTGCCTTCTTGGCCACAAGGGCACATTGTAGGCTCATGGTCAACTGGTTGTTCATCAGCACTGCTAGGTCCTTCTCTGCAGGGCTGCTTTTCCAACCTCCAAGCTGTACTGGTGCCTGGGGTTATTCCTCCCCAAGTGCAGGACCTTACAATTGCCCTTATTGAACTTCACCAGGTTCCTTTGTGCCCAGTTCTCCAGCCTATCCAGATCTCACTGAATGGCAGCATAGACTTCCAGTGTATCAGCCACTCCTCCAGGTCAGTATCATCAGCAAACTTTTTGAGGGTACACTCAGTCCCTTCATCCAAGTCACTGATGAACACGTTGAATAGGACTGGATCTAGTGGAACTAGATCCTTGTGGAACACCACTAACCACAGGCCTCCAACTAGACTCTGTGCTGCTATTCACAACCTTGATATACATCAAGAGATAGAGAGTAGTGGCATGCTTTCTAGCGGAGCTTTTCTAGAGACAGGCTTCCTGAGCAGCACAGTCCCTGCCTGTTGGCTGTGGCAGCAGCCCCTTTTCATCTGCAGAGCTCCATGTGCCACAGGCATGTGCTGTGCAGCAGCAGATCACACATCGAGCACCTCTTGCCTCAGATGCTTGGAGATCAGATGGTGGGAAGGTGGCTGAAGTGTAGGGTTGCAAATACAGGGTTCTACTGCAAGGTAACACAAGAAGGAGTCTCATGCACAGAGTGAAAGACATGACAGAGCGGAGTTCACACATGCCTAATAAAAGCATCTTGATTGATTCTTAGTGACAATATTGTGGAGATACAGTTTTTTTCTTAATTTAGTGAAATTCAACTCAGGTTGCTTAAAGCTCCTCTTTTTCAGCATTCTTTTTTGTTTTCACTGCTTTTGATAGTTCTGTCCTAAAAACACCAGAACTTCTCATTTTTTGTTTTCCAGGTCTTCAGAGCCTTTAGGAATACTGCTAAAACAACTTGGAAGTGCAGAAGGATGTGCCAAACTACTTGCAATGTTCCAAAATGTCACCTGAGAACATGATACAGTGCAGAAAGTGGCAAACAGCACCATACTGGGAAAGTTTGCTCAGTCAGCAGTTCAGCATAAGATTTCTAAAACTTTCAGTAAGATATGTTATATAGCAATTTCCATCTTCATTAAGGACAGTCTTAATTCAAAGCAGCTGTAGAAAAGCTTGCAGAGTTAAAGTAGTACTTTGGAGACTCTACTTATGAAAAGGAACAATGTTTTAAACTACATAGTTTAATCAACACCTCTGTAACAGATGGATTACCCCATTCAGGAATACTGCACAGAGGCCATCCAGGCTCATTTCTTTTCCTTTAAGTCTCCAGTTAGTGTTTTTTATGGAACAATGCCAGGACAGTTTTGCTTTTTAAAAAACAAAACAAAAACTTCAGTGGTATCACTAAAGCTAATATATCATCTGTCAGTTGCTAAGTTTAATAGGAACACTATACACTTTAGGAAGAAAAAAAAAGGATGAGGGAGATATGGGCAGTGGGAGCAAACTAAGAAAGAGGGAAAAATTTATTTCAGCAGTCACTGCAATGCAGTTGACAGCACGATTTAGCAGTACTGATACACAGAATGGGAATATACTTTTAAATGCCTCATACATTTAGGACATTTCCTAAATGAGGAGGAAGACGGAGTTTGTCAAAATGTGGCTTTTGGATATATGCCTCTGCTGAATGTGTTTTATCAGAGACAGTGAGACAGTCCCAGTAACAGATCTGTTATCTAAATTTCCAAGCTATGAGATCTAGATGCACACACCACCTGTAGCTTGCTCCACCACTGAGCACCAGTCGGCTCCCCATCAGCTTCTGCAAAAGGGAAATCCATGCACAAGGGCTAGAAGGCAACCAGTCATCCTTGGCCAAAACCCTAGTAGGAAAAATGATGAGAATTGGCTCTCTGGGGTTTGCATTGGCATATACCATATACCAATCTAGAAGTAACCCCAGTACAGTGGTTTGGGGGCCAAAGGTATTATATCATTTGGAAGAGCACAAGTGGAGAAAAAGCTTTGCTTATTGTTGGAATAGTGGCAGGAAACTGAAGTGTGGAGAAGCAGCCTCACAGCTGCAGAAACACTGTTTGCTGTGCAGTATACGGCTGGACAGCAACTGGCACACTGCTGTGAACTTTCTGCTCTTGCTGTCTGTCTGAAATGTATTTACAAAATATTTATTTTGATATTACACATTTCTTATTTATCCCCTTCATTTTTAAGACAGATACGATGTCTATTCAGCCACTAGTTAGAACGTTATACAGAATGATTCAATTTATGACCCAAAGAAGTTTGCATTTTAAAAAATATCTGGGTGTAACCAAATAAAAACCTAACAAATCAATGTCTCTTATTCTGTTCTTAGTTAATTTATTCCTATACAAGCACATTCACAAGCACAAACACTTGCTGGGGACTGTGTAAGCAGTTTAAATTTTTGAAACCTGGAAACCCAGAAGTTTAGCCAGCGTTGGAGAGTTTGTGCTTTTTACTCGGGCTGTTGGTTCCATCTCACAGCAGCACTTAGGCTGTCACAGAATATATTTATACTGTGGGACTTGGGAGACTTCCAGTCCTCAAATCTAAGGTCATGCCCTGTTTTACCCATATTCCCATATGCACATGTCAAAAGTTCGTGCTCCATCCAGACACACTTTATCCTCCACCTTCCTGTGCTCTGGTTTTCACAGGAAGGAAAAGAGCATGAAAAGAGCACAGTGCACTGATATCATCATGATCTTTAGAAGCCAGGACATAGTCTGGACATAATTGTACTGCTCCTAACTGCTCTTCAGGCTGATCAGAAGGGCTTCCCTTGGCATTTGGAGAAACTAATGAGAATAATGTGATTCCTGCAATGGATTGGAAGATACGCACAAAATATAATTTTTATGACTTCGTGCATCTTTCCTGTGCCAGTCCTTGTAGCACACTTGCTCCTGTTTTGTGTAACTTATAAAAAAAACTGTGGTGTTAAATTGATCTGTTCCACATTTTGCCTGAATGGGCTGCATTTTGTTCCTCTTTACATGTCAAAGCAGAATATATTCAGAACTAATCGATAATGTATT